CTACAGGAAAATCATGTTTCTCCAATAGAGAGAGAGGGTGTAGGGCTGTGTGTATATGTGTGTGATAGAAAGTCTGACCTCTCCTGGGAAGGCAGTGTAAGGAATAGCTTTTGGACCTTTTCTCTTGGGTGTTAGGTCCTTTTTAGGGGTTGGCTAAGTGCACTATCGGCAAAGTAGGAGAGTCCAACTGTGAATCATTGACCACCATAACTCAGGCTGGGCTGCATCTGGAGAAGAAATCCACCCATCTCAGAAGCCTGGACAGAGTAGGACCCTCAGGCAATTGAAAAGGGAAAAAACCTGTTAACCTGTTAGATAATAAGAGGTCAGAGTTCTACAAAGAAGTGAGACTATTATTTTCCAGAGAGGAAAACTATTCCTCAATTACTCATTTATATTCAAGATGAGAAAGATTGAGACTGTCTGCTGCCTGCAGCAGTTGATCAAAGGCTCATCTAGGAAGTGTAACCTAAATGCCTGCTGGTCCTGTCTTCCTTTCTGTGTTCTAATGTCACTTGGCATTTTTCTGCCAATGTACAAGTGCAGGCTTCTAAAAGAAGAGAAAGCGAAGTTGAGTTGTATCCAAATGAGAGCTGTCAAGTTGTTTATCTTGGCAGGAACCAGAGAGAGTAACAGGATACTTTGGAAAGCCCTTGAAGGTTCTAAGGAGACCTGTTGGTTTTGAATATAGCTGTATAGAGACGTGTTCCTCAGTGGTGCACAGGGTTTAGTTTTGGACTACTAAACAAAAGGTTGGCAGGTCAGACCCAGAGGTGGCTTGGAAGAAGGGTCTGGCAATGGACTTCTGAAAATTCATGGCCATGGAAACCTTACGGCGGGCAGTTCTATTCTGAAACACATGGAGTCACTATAAGTCAGGATTGACTAGATGGCAAACAAAAAAACCCCACTGATTTTTTTATGCAAAGACCTGGAGGAATTATAACTAAACCACATTGTGATCTCTAGGACCAAACCAATCGGTACTGATCGATACATGGACAGAAAAGAGGTAAAGAACCCTGTAATAGTATCAAGGCACTGCAGATAAGTTCTTGCTCTTGAAAAACTTACGGTCTAAATGGAGAAGTGGAGCAAACAAGTATGAAAGAAGTCTTAGGAGGTCATACTGAAACATAAGCAAACTGCTTAAAGATGGTGACACTCTACATCTTAGATCAGAAGAAAGAGATGGGTGTCACTGCAAGGGTCTGCATTGTTGAGTAGAGGCCTCCTAAGAACTGGGAAGCTGTGTCAAAGGGGAAGGGATGGGTGGGGAAGCAGGTCAATGTTACAGAGACAAAGAAGTTTGCATTACAGCCGTGGCGCCCACAAGTGTCTGCTGACCCTTGGGGGTCCCTGAGACTCTTTTTTTGGGGGACTATGAGGCCAAAATGATTTTCTTAATAACACTAAAATATTATTTGCCTTTTTACCGTGCACACATCTGCTCTGATGGTGCAAAAGCAAATGGTGGGTAAAAATGCTAGTGTCTTAGCATGAATCAAGATAGAGTGCTGAACTGTACTAGTATTTGTAGTTTTCATTGCCACACAATTGCGATGGGGAAAAAAAAAGAAGTCTAATTCCACTAAAGAGTGTATCATTTGTAATAGTCTGTGTGACAAATGAGAATATGCATTAAGCACTTGTGCTGGATACTGAAGTATAATGGTTGTCTCAAAAAGTACTTGGCAGTTAAGTTATGAACTAAACTTAGCTGCTTTTGTGACAGAACACCAAGTTTACTTGAAAGAATGGCTGCCAGACAAACTCTGGTTTTCGGACTTGCAGATTTTGGGGGAAATGGAATGAAGTAACCCTTTCATTTCAAGGAAAACAACTGTCAGTATCTATTGCCAATGATAATATTTGAACTTTCAAGCAAAAATTAGACATTTGGAAAACTTGTATCTGCTACTGTGGGTTTGATGTTGATATTGTTAGGTGCTGTCGAGTTGGTTCCAACTCATGGTGACCCTACATACAACAGTACAAAACACTCCCCAGTCTTCAGCTGTCCTCACACTCATTGCTGTTTTGAGCCTATAGTTGCAACCGTTGTGTCAATTCGCCTGTTGAAGGTCTTCCTCTTTCTCTCTGACCCTCTCTCTAACAAGCATAATACTGGTCCCGCCCGATAACATGTCCAAAGTACACGAGATGAAGTCTTACCATCCTCCCTGCTAAGGGGCATTCTGGCTGTACTTCTCCCAAAACAGATTTGTTAGTTCTTCTGGAAGTTTGATGGCTTCCCAATATTTAAAACAGTTTTGATGAGATCGGTGGTGATATTAGTGAATGTGTGTTTGTTTTTTTTAAACTGTAGGATGAAATACATCAATGTTAGGAAGATTTGTATAGCTCAGTGAGCTAATCTTTTCTAATATATGATGTCACCAAATCTTTCATGGGTAAAAGCCATTCAAAGTGGAAGGTAGATCAATGGATTCTAATGAAAATGGATTCTATAAAAATATGTAGATAGGGTTTTAGATTCCACATTCCGACTAACCTTAGAGAAACTCCACTTGTGAGGATTTAGTGTAGTATCTAAGAAGAGTATCCACAATGATCTGAAAAGGTTATTAAAATACTCCTCCTTTTCCCAACTACGTTATCTGTGTGAGACTGGATTTTCCTTATACATTTAAACCAAAACAATATATCTTAATAGATTGCATGCAGTAACAGATATTAGAATCCAGCTGTCTCCTGTTATTCCAGACGTTAAAGAGATTTGCAAGAAATTGTAAAACAATGCCACTCTTCTCACTAATTCTTTTTCCTTCAAAAAATGTAGTGATTTTTCATAAAAATATATCATGTATGTTAACATGCAGTGAATTTATTGTGATATCTAAATGAATTAGTAAGTATTTCTTAAAAGGTAGGTTTCATTTTGTAGTATGGTAAATATAGGTAGATGTAACCCATGTAAAACTCTTGGGGTGCAATAATTTTTAAGACTGTAAAAGTTGCCTGAGGCTCCAAGGTTGAGAGCCAGCACACTAATGTTATACATTGAGCAGGAGAAAATGGGATCCAGAATCTTGTCAGACAGGGTGGTTTTCAGAAAAGGGAAGCAAAGAAAAAAAAAAAAAAAATCCATGAAGTAGACAGATTGCTGTGATAGGTAATGAAAAGTCACAGTGGGCTGGATAGATTAGCTTGCCTAGTTCTTTGTTATCTGTGGCCTCTTGCCAGGTCAGCATTTGCAAGAATTCTGTAACTTAGACCCAGGCTTCTGCCCAGCTTCCGTGAGACAGCAGAGAGCTGCTCGGCATTGATCGGTGAATGGTGAGCCCAGTGATATGATTAGAATGGGACAGTATGTGTTAAAGCAGAGTCTTTGGAACTGTCAACTTTCTAGTGTGTACAGATTTTTACCACCTGCTTCATTTCCCACAACGCACTTCCATTTCAGAGCCAGAAAAAAATGCTACCTGATTCTACCGTATGCAACAGTGTACAGCATCGTATTGAAGTTCAAATGTATGTTTATCTCTCTTTAAAAAATGCATTTTGTGTTGTAGAATAGGAAAAGTCCATTTACTCACTTCTACTTTTTAAAATTTCAAAACTATTTCTACATCTTCTTTTCAATACCTAGTTATCAAGTTTGCTCTGTCCACAAGGAGCTTTGTGATCTGTATAGTGATTTGGAACCACCAATAATCACAGGCTAGATTATTCTTGGGGGCTGGCAGGCACATTGCTTCTTGTTCTGATGAGAGATAGTTTTGCCATAAAGCTAATCATACCTACACTTCAAGGCCCCTCATCTGCATGGGTCCTTGCTGTATTTGTAATTTTGAATTCTTTTCCATTTTAAACAAGGTCCCCCAAATTGTATAAGCCTTAGGCTTCAAGAAACCTGGTTTTGAGGGATGCTGTGTAAGGCTCTTGGGGACCTAGTTGTGTTCTAAAAGACATTTCTGAATGAGTAGGGCAGATATGAGGAAGGGAATGTAGCCATGGTATTTGAAAAAGTTGGCAGCATTGCTTTCAGGGGATTTATTCAGACAATTATTAGGTCAATATATAATAGCACTTACTCGAATTTAAAATAGTTTAGAAAATTTTATTCTGTTTACCATGCAGCATGTACTCCTAGGACTAATCAAGAGCTTTCCTGTTTTTGTATAATAACATGAAAAGTCCTTCTCATTGAGTCATGGCGTCTTTTTTGGTTTAATTTATCACTGAAGCATTTGAAGCAGAGTCAGTGATATTTGTACTCCTCAGACCCTCAGTTTCTGAGGGAACTTTCATATTAATTAAAGCCTCAGCACAGAGGCAGTTTACCAACTTCAGGTCTCTTTCCTTCTGGACTTTTCAATCCTTTTCTCCTGAGAGACTTCTTCCTGCTGTTTTCTGTCTCAGTAATTTCGGTGTAGTGCCACTGACAGCATCAGTGGCCACAGCAGCATAGAGCTCTGTGCTGACTGCTCTACACAGGTTAGCTCTGTGAGGGTAGACAGGGTTACTGTCCTTATTTTACAGGCGAGGAAACACAGGCTGAGAGGAGTTAAGTAACTTGCTGAAGGTTACACACCATAGAAAGTGGTGGGGCTGGGTCTCCAACTTTGGTGTGTTTGATTAACACCTATACTTATTGCATTTTCCTGTTGTCAGCCAGGTATCTTGGAATGAAAATCTGAGGAAGTCCCCAAACAAAATACTCATGTCTAGGGCCCTAGCAGCTCTTTAGTGCTTGGTAAAAGATTTGCTAAGCCAGCCATGTTTAGAACTTCCCACAAACATTGGGGATTCTTTTAGATACCTAATTTCAGTGGCCTTCAGGTAAGCAAACCAGCTGTTGTCTCCTGTACATCAGTAAATGTGGTCAGTGTGGTTTCATTCCTGCTTTGGGACATGAGGTCCCATGTGCCTGGCCAATGTTGTCACTTGATAAAGACTTGAGAACAAACGGATGAAGTGATGGTGCTTTTCATGGGCCCAGCTGCATAACGTGGGTTTCTATTTGCCTGGCTTAGGTATTTGGCTCGGGTTGGGGATCTGGAAGCTACTGATACTGAAGATCCAAATCTGAATTACGGACTTGTTGTGGACTGTGGCAGCAGTGGCTCCCGGATTTTTGTTTATTTCTGGCCAAGACATAATGGAAACCCTCATGACTTGCTGGACATCAAACAGATGAGAGACCGCAACAGCCAACCAGTGGTTAAAAAAATTAAGCCAGGTACTACTCAGATCCTTGTTAATCTCTCTTATCTGCTACAGACATGACAGAGGTGAAATGAGAAGAAGGGGAAAGAAATCTACCCTCTGCTCCTCGGGCATGTGGCAGTTCACATACACTTTGTCTCATGACATTGACTACAATTTACCCCAATGCAACAGCTCCCTTCCCACATCCTCCCGATAGTTACCTCTTTCCTATGTCCATCCCTCCATGCACTCGTGCCCACTAAGCTGTCTCCTGTGCATAAACAGCCCTTCTTTCTCCCATGATTGATCTCTCCAAGGAGTGTATCTACCTCAGGTACATGTTCAACTCATATGCCTGTCTTTTGTTTGGCTGGAAGCCACAGATATGGGTTCAGTTCCAGACCTGAAAGGCAGCTGGGGGCCATAGTCTCAGTGATTCCACCAGGCTCTATCAGACCAGCAAACCTGGTCCCTTTTTTTTTTTCTCCCAAATGATTTTGAGTTTTGTTTCCCATTGTTCTCCCTCTCTATCCAGGATCTCCCACATAGATACCCCTCTGAGTGGTTGACAGTGGTAGCTGGGCACCATCTAGTTCTTCTGGTCTCATAGTGGTATAGGCTGTGGATCGCATGGTGTACCAGTCGCTAGGACCAATTGTTTCCATGAATCTTTGGTTTTCTTCATTCTTCTTTGCTCTGGACGAGGAGAGACCCATTGTTGCATCTAGATGGCTGCTTGCAAGCTTTCAAGATCCCAGTCGCTATTCACCAAAGTAGGAGGTAGAACAGTGTTTTGTGTAGTATGTTATGGCAATTGAGCTTGATGTCCCCTGCGACTGTGGTTCCAAGCCCTATGTGATCTGCTTTTTAAATAAAGTATTCTATTTTACTCAAGGAATCTCTGCAATGGCAGACACTCCAGAACATGCCAGCGATTACCTCCGTCCGCTGCTGAGCTTTGCCGCTGCTCACGTGCCTGTGAAGAAGCACAAGGAGACCCCTCTTTACATACTGTGCACGGCGGGCATGAGGCTCCTTCCTGAGAGGTGAGAGGTGCAGAGCCAGAGAACCCACGGAAAAGGGGGCACAGGGATCGAGGCCAGTTCCGTGCGTGTTTCTTTGTGGTTCCCTAGCCTCAAGCTGGGAGTGGGTCTGTCACATGGAGTTGACAGGTGACGCCAGAAGACTCCCAGATGAAAAATAGAGCAGAGCCACTCTAGTACCCAAGTATTATTCTAGTCAGTGCTTTGTACCTTCATGCCATTTGCTTCTTTGGGGTCAATATCTATCTGAGACGGCTGTAGAGATTTTTAATTTTTATTGAGGGTTGGGATTGGTGGTGATGGTCATAAATTTGGCTCTAGAGGGAAGCATAATTACAAAAGGGTAGTAGAAGAGTTGCCTGAAGGACTAGGAACTTAGGGACTAGTGGGAGGTAGGAACACTGCTTTCTTTGTGACTGTGCCTGGGTGCCTGGTGGGAGTTGGTGAGCCCTCCCTTTGCTGCTATTTGGAAGGCTACTGCAAAGCTCAGTCTACAGTGCTTTAGACCAGTTTTCTCAGCCCCAGGCAGTTCAGTCTTTTCTACTTGGCCTTGGCAGTTCAGCCTGGCATCTTACTACCTGAGTCTGTGCTTAGGTCAGACCTCTTCTTATTTGTGATTTCTCTTCTCTTTGGCACTTCCTCAACCTCTTCCACTTAATTATGGGCAGGAGGTTGGGTTGGACCCACTTAACTTTAGATTTGGTTTCCCTGGAATATTCATAGACCCTAGATACCAGTAAGACATCGGGTATTTTCGGTTAGCTTCCATATTTTTCCTTGGTAAACAGCAGTTAGCTTTTCCGTGGTTTAGTTTAGTGTACTTGGCCTTTCTTCCCTTCAAACAACCTGAAAAATCTCAGCCATGCATGTAGGGCTCCATGTTTCTTGTGAAAAGTTGACAGTGTATCTCAGTGCTTTAAATGGACTTCTTTCATTCTGCTTAGACACTCAGTTACTGGTTCGGTCAGTTTACTGTTGAGAAGCAGATTATTTTATGTAGCTATTTGTCAACGTGAGGGTCGCCCAGCTCCTTGTTTAATCCCCCAGACATCTTGATGTTTTCACAAATTATGTTTTGTTTTTGTTTATCTTTAAAACCAGACAGTAAAAGAGCATAGCAGCAATGTTACATCATTAAAGGAAATTGTGAAGGTAAAACAAACAAGCAAAAACCCCACGACTACCCTACTGTCCTGTCAAAACTGAGTGCATTCTGTCACACGCCGTTCTATGTGTGCATCTCTGTGCAGTTTCTACAAGTGGCAGAAATTGTAATCATACTGTGCATGCAATCTAGCATTTTTTGTCTGTGACCTAAGTCATATTCACGTTGTTCAAAATGTAGAAACCCTGGAAAGAAAGAAGATACCACAGGTGGTGCCCCATCACAAAGTCTCTGAACGGCCTGAGTCTTACAGCCGAGGAAGCGGGGCTAGCAATAGGAAAAACTGACTCAGAGGCCAGGAAGGCAGAGCCCACCAGCAGGGCTGGGTGGGGAACCCGGTGGATGATTTGGCCACGTTTTGTCTGTCTGGAGCCAAGTAGAGGATTGCTCCACCTCCTGGCCTGCTCAGCATGGCCTCTGTTTTGTCAAAGAAATTTCCAGCCAAACCCTCTATGTAGTTCCACCACGAAGATGTTTGTTATCAGAATGGAAGTTCTAAATGTTTATTTAAGTTGTAAGAAACTTGCCTTTTCTTCTCTTGTTTTCTGATTACCCTGTATAGATCTGTTCTAGGTTTAGGGACTCATTGCTGCTTCTAAGGCCAAACTAATTGTTGACATAAGCATGACTGTTAGTGCAAGAACCTGTTTTGTATGATTCATGCATGCACTTTGCTATTTTATTAGCATTTGTGAGCAATATTCAAGGTGGATTTGAATCAT